TGCCCTTGACCGGAATCGAACCTGGGACCTTTCAGTCTGCAGGCCGATGCTCTATCCACTGAGCCAAACCGGTTTCGGCATACGGGAGTGATTCTTGCCCACACGATCCATGGAGAGAGGGTCGAGACCCCTTTGAAAATCTGAAGACTATTCAGTAAACGCTTCCCCGGGGGGGGGGAGGGGGGAATGCCCGGACACATGCGTGAAATGCAATCTCGTAAGGTTACACGTTCCTGGAGCCAGGCTGTGACCTCGGGCCACCCCCACCCCCAATTTAAGGAGGTCGCCTGCAGCCCCTCTGAGAGCGCAGGTCCCAGGACAACCTGCGGGGACAGCTCGCCCCCAAGTGGCCGAGCCGGGAATGGCCCGGAAATGGACCTATTTCTGTAGGGCCCTCAAGCGGGACCTCCGACCAGGCCCTGTGCCTGCTTTGCGGGAGGGAAACCCAGCTGCCCATCCCCAGTCGGGAGCCCACCCTGTGATGTAAGAAACGCACAGAACGTAGAGTCTCTGAGTGTATCTGAGCCAAGCGGACGGCCACTCCCAGGAGGCAAGCTCAACTGCGAAAGTGTGCGTGCGAGTGGCAGGTTTCCAGCCTTTAAAAAAATCTCTCTCTCTCTCTCTCTCTCTCTCTCTCTCTCCATATATATATATATATTTCAGAGAGGAAGGGAGAGGGAGAGGGAGAGATAGAAACATCAATGATGAGAGAGAGTCATGGATCGGCGGCCTCCTGCATGCCCCCCACTGGGGATGGAGCCCTTGACTGGGAATCGAACTGTGATTCGTGATTCAACCCCTGCTGGGCTGTTTAGCAGTTTTTATGTCCAGACCATCCTCTGTGGTTACTTTTGGTCTCTGAGTCTGCAGGGCTCCCCTGAGTGCATCAGGGTGAGCACCGTTATTGTCCACAGTCCTCACCCCCAGGGCCGTGGAAGGAGGCGGGGGCCCCATCCCAGAGGCTGACGTGGATGCTCAGTGGCCGACATCCCACCTGCGTGTTTGCCCCAGAGGAACGCGTCCGCCCAACCGTGCTTTGGTCCCTGACACGTCCCAGCCCCTGGCACAGCGCCTGGCGTCCCATAGGGAACGGAGGGAGAGGATGCTGGGAGAGTTCGCCAGAGGGGCCGACGGGAGACAACTTCTATCCGTGGGGAGGGACCCTGGGGTCATGTGTACCTTGGAGACCATGCAGCCATTCAAAGGAAAGTGGAGATTTGCCTGGCCCGTGTGGCTCAGTGGTTGAGCATCGACCGATGAACCAGGAGGACACGGTTCGAGTCCCGGGTTGTGGGCTTGATCCCCAGTGTGGGGCGTGCAGGAGGCAGCCGATCCACGACTCTCATCGTTATTGTTTCTCTCTCTCTCCCCTTCGCTTCCTCTCCGAAATCGGTAAAATATATTTCAAAATAAATAAATACATACGTAAAATGTGAAATACACTCCACGTGGAAATTTTAAAACAATGGAGAGGCAGGTATGCAGCCCAGCCTGATCAGCTTCCGGAAAAGAGATCTTGACTTAGAGCCCAAAACGTCCCAGAAAGCTGCCCCCACGCCCCCCCCCACTCCTACCCCGCTCCCACTCCTACCCCCACCAGCAAACAGGCCGTCTCAGACTCGCGCTCGCTTTTTAAGAGGTTTATTACTCCAATAGTGAATTCTTTTAAAAAGATGATAAAACTCATTTTTCTTCCAGTAGAAAAGAGACAGAGGCTTGCCCGGAGACCAGAAGCTACAGATGGACAGGGCTCCCACCTGACCAGATACCCAGGCTGC